AATTGATTTTTAATTTTTAGAAGACATAAATAATATTTAAAACACGGAATTTATGCTTAATAAAAGCATTAATTTTTACATAAAATGACAGCAAAGTATCGGTTACCATAAATAACTTGTCCAGCAATGGGTTTACCATAAGTCGTTTCGCTCGCCAAAAAAAAGTCGCCCAAATCCGTGCAACCGTCTACCAAAGTAGCACTAATTATTAATTATTTTCATTAGGAACATAATAACAATATACATAAAATTAAACTATTTTTTATTATGAGGCTACCCTCGGTTTGAGAATTTCCAAACGCGTATTGGGATAAGGTTCGGAGAACAGCCTTGGTTGCGCCAACCTGGCTCCTTTAAGGATATGGGCGACATTTCATGATGCTAACGGAAGTAAATATCATGTGGGGATAGGTGCTAAGGAGAAAAGGAAAATACATGGGGAAAAACGGGATTAAAATGTGTTTATATTTGTTTGCTATCTGATTGCTAATTTTGTTCTGTTATCTTGCTAAATTAGCATTAAAAGTCGAGTAATGTGCGTCTATTACGGAAACGCATTGCAATTACTTTTCGATCCGATTTTATATATGTATTAATACGAGTATATCATTTCTGCTCATATAATCTACATATGTATCAGATAACAAGCTACTTTTGACACTTATTTCTGGATGTGCTGACTTGGGTTTTCAAAGCAGAAAAAGGCCCTTGAATGCTGCGCCCGGGGACAGATGTCCCTGGGCGCAGCATCCAAGGGGCGCCAAATTCATGCTACAAAATTTTTTAATGAAATGTTTTCCATTTTTCGCATACAAAAAGGGGCGCAAATTCTTCAGTTGTCAACCGGCGCTGGAAACTCTAGCTACGCCCCTGCACATATAAAAATAAAAGTTAAGTATTTTAACATTAATGTATTTTAAAATTAACTTAAGTATTTTAACATTAACGATGAACTTTGAATTTCATATTCTAGTAATGTTAAAATTTCTATGTGTAAGTCATTTTCTCTTAAACTATTTAGAACTGATTCAGAAGTCAAACAACAAAAATCAGATCTGATTTTTGACTTCTGAATTAGTATTTATTCGGGGTGTTATTGTGTCTTAATTATGTAGAACTGTTTAAACTATTTAAAAGTGTCTTTCTTTTTTCATTTTTATAGGCTTTGCTTGTTAATGTTCTCAAAATTGTATCTGGTTATTAGTGCTATTATGTATATAATAAATACAATAGATGCATATAATAGATGAATATATTTTTAGTATATAATAGATTCAATATAATTTTTATGGACAAAAAAGACAATTTTGCCTGCGCAGATTTTCTGGAAATCCCATATTAAACACATATGAAATCATTTGTTTACAATCAGTGAACGTTAAAATCAGCTACCTGTCACAATACAATAAAACAGCGACACAATTTCATACAACAGCGAGCTGTTCCTCATTTACATGAACAAGAATTTTTTTTTTTAATTTTTATTTCTCCTTTTTCAACAGTGAAATGTCCTTTGATTTCATGCGATCAGGACGCTATAGAACTTATTATTAAATAGAAAGCCAAAATTTGTACATTGGATTTTAAGTAAAAACACACAGATCGTATTTTATTCCCGAGTGTCAAGATGTAGAAACATCTTTTTACTCGACTTTTAATAAGGATCGAGTGGGAGAAGAAAGAGTAGTGTGGGAGGCGGAAAAAAGAGAGTGAGGTCCAAACTAGCGGTGGTGAAAAAAGGGGGGTGATGGCAAGTTCAGTGTCGTTATAAGAAGTAGCCGCGGGTGGTAAACCGCAGAGTCAGTTTAGCGTGAATGAGTCAATTAAGGTTGTAATTCTTATGTGGGTAGGATGTCACATGGGTACCGATGTTTTTCTCTGGGATGCGGGGGAGTATCTGAGACTGCTATTTCAAGTAAAATTTCGTGCATTACTAAATAATGAGCTTTTTAAAATTCTCTCTGCTTCAGTAATACAGCGAGAATTTACGTCTCCTTGAACAAAATCAAACATTTCGGAAAAGCTAAGCAACTCCATTTTTGAATGTATGAAGTCAGATCACAAATAAAAATACCGGATAACCCACGGAATCTATTTTGTACTGTTTGGAATTAGCGTAACATGAAAAAACATGAAAGAATAGGGTTCCGAAGGTTAACCAGAACTTCCTTTTTCAGCTGCAGGAGGTAAAAGAGTCATTTTCGCCCTACAAACTAATGAACTTTTTATTAATTCTTGCTGATGATTATTAGTTTTTTAAACTTAAGTATAAATCATGTTAAGAAAATCATATTTAAAAGCAGTATAATGGAAGGTGTCTTTTTTTTTATGTCCTAAAAATTTTATTCTGTTTCTTCTAATTCATCAATAAGAAAATATCTTGTATAAAATATTTTGTTAATTTTCATATTTTTTTTAAATATGAAAACATCAAGTTATTACATTGAGCCGAATCTTAGTTTATTTACTCAACGTTAAGAAAATGTAGAATGACAAGAAATATCCGATCTTCTAAACACTGGAATAATTTTGACTACATTTAATACAAGGTTCTAAAATAAGAAGTATTTTATGATTTCATTTAAGAAATGTTTTTTTTCCTCCTCGGTTTCATTTCTTTCCCAATCCGAGTGGACAGGTTCGAGTAGAGTTTACGCTTCGCCTCCGTGCTTCGTTGCTACACCGTTCGGTGCACCGGAACAGAACAACTCAACCTGACTCTTTCGCTTTTGGAACTATGCCAAAGAACATTTAATTCAGTTGAATAGTCAGACTCAGACGAACGCATTCGCAAGGCAGCTGCTATGCTGTCTATTCTTCACTATTTTGTTCTGTTCTCGTACTTATAAGTGTTATATGTTATTTTCTTGTTTATACTTGTATTGTGCAGTTATTTAATATAAGTTTTGTGTTTAAAACGAGGACGTGTTTTGAGTTCCTTCACATTACATCGCAACATAATATTTTGGAGGCACCGGCGAGATTAAAGGACTTTTGATTTCGGTTTCGTCAGCACTGCAACGCTGCATTCGGTACAGTAATGGATACTACTGGATACGTTTAGCTTCGAACTTCATTTAAAGACCAAGCAAGATAAGTATTTTTTTTCTTTTTTTACAAGTTTGACTTTGGTTTTCCTCATTGCACCATTACGTCGTAATGGAAGACAAGGTTAAGATTGCAAAAAATAGTAGAGGTAGAGCGAAAGCTGCTCTTACCAGAATTTCAAATTTCATTAATGATGATAAGCAGTTATTCGAAAAAAATACGATTTAATGAATAAACTTCAAAAAATTGAAAGCGTTTATTCTGATTTTGACAAGGCAGACGCAGAACTTCCGCCGGAAAGTTCTGAAATGGAAGAATTTGAGAAAAAATATTATGAAACCAAAGCCAAACTACAACAAGAACTTGAGAAATTAAATGTTACTGTTAATATGCAAGTTACTAATGTTAATGAACGTCAAATGCCAGGTTATAGTACTACAAATACTGCTAATAATTTTAAATTACCGAGAATAAATATGCAATCTTTTAACGGTAATTACAGACAGAAACTGGATGTCTTTCAAGGACTTATATGTATCATTAGTGCATAACAATGAAAATTTAAGCAACATTCAAAAATTTCAATATCTAAAGGGTTTATTAACTGATGAACCGGCTTCTATTATTAAACATATTCCCATTTCAGAAAATAGTTATATGGAAGCCTGGGGAAAATTATTATCTAGGTATGATAAGAAAAAACAAATTGTCACATCACTAATAAAAACTTTCATGGAACAATCTTGTGTAATTAATGCAAACTCAATTAATTTGCGAAAAATTGCCGATACATCTGATGAAATTATCAGAGGTTTAAAATCTATTGATCCAAAAGCTAGTGAAAGGGATGTTTGGCTAATTTATATTTTATTACAGAAGGTTGACAACGAAACATGTAAACAATGGTCTGAGTTTTCAGCAAAAGTGGAATTTCCTACTTTTGAAATGTTTATTCAATTTATAAATGATAGATGTTCCTCTTTAGAAATTTTCCACGAAAAAGAAAGGGAAAAAACTCAACCTAGTGTTAAAAGATTTTCTGTGAACAAAAGTATCAAATGTATTATGTGTAAATCAGATCATTTTCTTTTCAAATGCCCCAAATTTAAAGCACTAACTGTCAAAGAAAGAAATCAATTTGTCAGGAAAAATAATCTTTGTTTAAATTGTTTTTCTAGTCAGCACAAAAAATCTGAATGTATGTCTCAACATCGTTGTCATTATTGCCAGTTATTGCATCATAGTACTCTGTGTGTGAAAATCAGTTAAAAAGTTATTCCACATCTGCGTCTCTTTCTGAGACCAGTTTTCAGTCAGAACAGCAAAGAAAGAATCCAACCGCGAATGAAATACCAAACATTGCGTCTACGAATGAAAACAAAAACGGAACTGTAATTCAAAATAATAGCGTTCAAACAACTTTTGGCTTATTGCCAACTGCATATGTAAATGTAATTGATTCGATGGGTCAAAAACGTAATATTAGAATGCTTTGTGATAGTGGTTCCGAATCAACATTATTATCTGAATCTTGTATTAATTTATTGGGATTTAAAAGGAAAAATGCGCGTTTTCCTGTCAAGGGTTTAGCTGAGTCAGAAGTCGCAGTTACAAAAGGTTGCGTTGAAATCGAGTTGATGTCAATCCATGATGCATCAGTGAGAATGCCAATTAAGGCATTTGTATTAGATAAACTAACTGCTGCGCTTCCAAGCCAAAAAATAAATGAGAAAGACTTTTCGCATTTGAAAAATGTAAAGTTAGCTGATCCATATTTTCACATTCCGGATAAGATAGATATTATTCTAGGATCTGACTACTTGTTTTCTATTTTACTTCCTGGACAAATAACTTGTTCTCAAAGTGATTTAATTGCTCAAAACTCAATTTTTGGTTTCCTCATATCCGGAAAACTACCGGAATCTCAAACGAAATCAAATTCACTTTCAAACATGCATATTTATGAAATAAATATTGACAGCGAATTGAAAAGGTTTTGGGAGTTAGAAGAAGTGCCAAATTCAACTGACACTGTATTCTCACCTGAAGAACAATTTGTTGAAACACATTTTCGGGAAAATTACTCAATTAATTCAGATGGTCGTTTTGTGGTGAAGTTGCCATTTTTAAAATCTAAATCTGAATTAGGTAATTCAAAACCAGCTGCACTTTCTCGATTATATGCTATGGAACGTAAATTTAAGGAAAACTCGGAATTTGAAAACCAATACAAGGATTTTATGCATGAATATGAAAATTTAGGTCATATGGAATTGGTCACACAAAACTGTTTAAATAGATTTCAGAATGAGCAATATTTCCTTCCCCATCATGCAGTGATCAAGCCGTCTAGTACAACTACTAAATTAAGAGTCGTTTTCGACGCTTCATGTAAAACTTCCAACGGTAAATCATTGAATTCTATCTTGGGTGTTGGTCCTAAATTGCAACGAGACATTTTCGAAATTTTACTTAATTTTCGATTTCCGGAAATAGTCTTTTCAGCAGACATAGAGAAAATGTACCGTCAAGTTTTAGTGTCCGATGAGGATCGGAACTACCAACAAATTCTTTGGAGGTTTAATCCTAACGAAGAAATACGCACATACAAGTTAAACACCGTAACATATGGTTTAGCTCCAGCTTCTTTCCTAGCCACTAGGTGCATTAAGCAAATTGCACTAGATTATTCACAAAATAGTGCTGTGTTTCTCATACTTTACTACACGATGTATACATGGATGATTTGCTATCGGGTTCAAGTACCGATAGTGATGCAATATCACTTTGTAAGGAAATTACCAATATTTTACAAACACACGGTTTCCACCTACGAAAGTGGAATTCTAATTCAAATGCATTTCTTGCAGAATTTCAAGAACATTGTTCAACGGACACTAATTTAGAAATAATTCCTAATGATAAGGAAAGCACGAAAGTCTTAGGATTATTTTGGAACTCTTCAACAGACACATTCATTTTCAAACCCGCACTTGCACTCACCTCACCGCTGACAAAAAGACACATTTTGTCCCAATCGGCACGCATTTTCGATCCATTAGGATTAATTTCACCATGTACTGTTGTAATGAAAATTTTTTATCAGAAGCTCTGGCTTACAAAAGGGGACTGGGATTCTCCTATTCCACAAAGTCTTGCTGAAGATTTGTTTAAATTTCAGAAATCTTTCAATGCAGTTGAACATTTTACCGTTCCTAGAGGTGTCACGCTTATTTCCTCTGACACATTTGAATTGCACGGCTTTTGCGACGCGTCAACACTTGCTTACGCTGCTGCAATATATTGCAAACAAATACACGGAAATGAAATAAAGGTTTCTCTCTTAGTTTCTAAAACTAAAGTCGCACCTATTCAAACAAGTATCTGTTCCTAAATTGGAACTATGCAGTGCTCATTTGCTTTCAAAGTTATATCGTGCAGTCATGAACACTCTCAAAAAATATAAGTTTGATGTTTACGCTTGGACTGACTCCAAAGTCGTACTTTCCTGGCTCTCGGCACATCCCCGTAAATGGAAGACTTTTGTTGCAAACCGGACGTCTCAAATAATCGAAGTACTTCCAACAAAATACTGGAGGCATGTCCCTTCCAAAGAGAACCCAGCAGATATCGCTTCGCGTGGTATTGATCCCAAATGTCTTCCTAATTGCAACTTGTGGTGGAATGGCCCAAGTTGGCTTTTTTGGATTGGATTCGTCTCACTGGCCGAAAGAGGAATCCGCTTCCAAAGAAATCAAGGATCTAATTAAAGCTGAACAAAGATCTGATCCTATATTTTCATTTCATAGTGCTACATCAAATGAATTATATAGTGATTTATTTGAAAAATATTCATCATTTTCTAAGATTATACGCATTTTAGCATATTGTTTAAGATTCATCAATAAGTGCAAAACCAATAACAAATGTCAAACACTTATAACTGATTCCTTTTCTCCACTCACTTACACGGAAACTAAAAATGCAGAAATAATCATAATTCGATGGGTTCAGAAAGATTATTTTAATGAAGACCTAAAATGCATTAAAAATCAAAGATCGTTGCCTAAGAAAAGTCAGCTACACTCCCTCCATCCGTTTATAGATGAAAACAGTCTTTTACGGGTGGGAGGGCGTTTACAAAATTCAGAATTGTCTTTTAATCAAAAGCACCCAGTGATTCTACCTGCTAAACACAAGATAAGTGAGCTCATCGTAAAAGAAAAGCATGTGACTTATTTACATGCTGGTGCTTCATTACTGTCCCACATTATCAAACAATCATATTGGATCATAGGTGGAAAAAAGCTCATTAATAAATGTGTTCACAAATGCATCAAATGCTTCAAATTTAAAGCATCCACCGCATCTCAGCTTATGGGTAATCTACCTAAGCATCGTGTAACACTCGAGAGGCCTTTCTTCAACTGCGGAGTGGACTATGCCGGTCCTATTTCAATCAAATTCAACAAGGGTCGTGGAGCAAAATCAACCAAGGGTTACATTGCTCTATTTATTTGTCTCGCTACTAAGGCACTACACATCGAGGCAGTGAGCGATTTAACCGCTGATGCATTTTTAGCTGCTTTGCGTCGCTTCAGTGCTAGACGAGGAGCTCCAAGTCACATTTACAGCGACAATGCAACAAACTTCGTTGGGGCTAATCGAAAACTCAGCGAAATACAACGATTGTGGGCCTCACTTCCTAAGAACGAAGCCGTTGCTCATCATTTAACTCAAGCATCAATAGAATGGCACTTTATACCTCCAGCATCTCCTCATTTCGGAGGAATTTGGGAGGCCGCAATTAAATCAACCAAATATCACTGTAAAAGAGTAATAGGTGAAACGCTACTTACTTTCGAAGAATTGACAACTCTATTGGCTCAGATAGAAGCCATTTTAAATTCTCGTCCGTTATGTAGTGTAAACAATACTGACATTGATTGCATTAATATTCTCACTCCTTCACATTTTCTTACAGGAGACGTGATCCTATCCCCTCCTGAACTACCTCTTACTAGTCCTGCCTAATATACGGAATAGGTGGGATCTCCTTCAAAAGATGCGCAAGGACTTCTGCAAATCATGGACCAAAGCATATCTATCTTCTCTTCAAACCAGAAAGAAATGGAAGGACACTCAGCCGAATATGAAAATTGGAGACATCGTCCTGTTACTAGATGATGGTCATCTTCCAGGTTCTTGGCCACTAGGACAAGTGGTCGAACTTCATCATGGTGCTGACGGACTGGTTCGTGTGGCCACGGTTTAAAACTAAAAACTCTATTTTTAAAAGAAACATTCATAAATTAGCACCTTTGCCCATATATCAGGACTAATGCCTGATAGGGTGGGAGTATGTTCCGGTGCACCGGAACAGAACAACTCAACCTGACTCTTTCGCTTTTGGAACTATGCCAAAGAACATTTTAATTCAGTTGAATAGTCAGACTCAGACGAACGCATTCGCAAGGCAGCTGCTATGCTGTCTATTCTTCACTGTTTTTTGTTCTGTTCTCGTACTTATAAGTGTTATATGTTATTTTCTTGTTTATACTTGTATTGTGCAGTTATTTAATATAAGTTTCATGTTTAAAACGAGGACGTGTTGATTCCTCACATTACTCGCAAGTTTAATGTCATTAATTTTTAATTTAAACTAACCTTCATAAAAAAAAAAGAACTATTATTTTTTTAGGATCATTTGGTGCTTGTTGTTGTGTAGATATAACGATGGTATTGACTCGGTAATATTAACATTTTTACTTAATACTAGAAAAGATATATATTTCAACACACGTTCACTGATACACAGTCACAATGATTACAGTTCGTACGATAAACATTTTTATAGTTAGCAAGTCATCATGAAAGTGAAGCGGAAGAGAGGTGAGCGGGTGATTCACCGACGGCAGCCAGGGACAGAGTAGTCAGTCCGAATTTTCCCCTAGTGAAGAAGAGGGAGAAAGCTGGTAGCACCCTCTCTTGGGCCAGTGGACAAATAATAATAAAGAGTTCTCCACAGTATTCCCCCCCCCCGAGTACCAAAGGTACGATGAAAAATCAGTTCACAAATATCTGGTGTTGAAGCGCACACGTCTTCCCGATCGTGTGATAACTGGTGGAGCACTGGAAGGAAGCATAAGGTCGATCGAAGGAGAAGCATCTGGAGAAACAGTTGGGTCCGGCGAAGCAGGAGGATCTCTGGGCACAGGATCCTGAGAGTTTGAAGCTCCGAAGAAGGCAGGCTTCAGTCTCTCTATTCCCAGAGCGGTTTCCTTGTCGCGCACGAGAACGGTGAAATGTTTATTGTTACGTGCACAGACCTTGAAGGGTCCATCGTATGGAGGAGTGAGTGGTGGTTTTCGTACAAACGCGTGAGTGCAAATACTCAGTGCATGGTGTACGAATGGGGTGGATTTGTTGTGGCATGATGTAAGAGTCGGAGACAGCTTCTTCATCGCCTCTCGGAAAGTCTGGAGAAGGGATGCTGGATCGACTGGAGCAGAGGATGGCCGAAAGAACTCGGATGGTAATCGAAGGGCTGTGCCGTAGACAAGTTCAGCGGATGTACCTGCGAGGTCTTGCTTGAAGGAAGAACGTAAACCAAGAAGCACAAGAAGGAGTGATGTAGTCCAATGGGTGTCATTATGGCACTTTAGAGCTGCCTTTAGATCGCGGTGGAAACGTTCCACTAAGCCGTTGGCGAACGGATGGTATGGCGAAGTGCGAATTCGGCGTATTCCAAGCATAGATGTCAGAGAAGCGAAAAGGTGGGACTGGAATTGTCGACCTTGATCAGTAGTCACAATGATCAGTACACCAAATCGTGTAATCCAACCGGAGAGAACAATTGTCGAGCCACAGAGTCAGCAGAGATGTCCTGAATGGGAAAAACTTCAGGCCAACGAGTAAATCTGTCAACACAGGTGAGATATCGATAACCGTCAGATGGTGGCAGAGGACCGACGATGTCTATATGAACATGGTCGAATCGTTCGGAGGGCATCACGATTTTTTTCCAAAGGGCTATGTGTGTGCCGGGTAACTTTTCGAACTTGCTGGCACATGATGTAGCAGGAACGAGACCAATTGGCAATGTCCTCCTTTAGCATGGATGGCCAAACGAATCTTTCTTGTATGAGCTTTTTGGAAGATCGGATACCTGGGTGCGATAGGTTGTGGAAACAGTCAAGAACTTTTTTTTCTGAAGTCATGTGGTACATAAGGTCGAAGTCTGTTGTTAGAGGTATCGCACAATGACGAGTAAGTTGTAATTCTGGAATTTCAATTAGCAGTTTGAGTCTTCACTCAGGCGTTTCCTCATCGGTGGCTTGCGAGTGGGCAATAAGTGTGAAATCCAGCGGTGTATTGGCATCGATGCCTTGAATATGCGAGAGAGTATCTACGGCGACATTGCTGGAACCTGATATATGCTGAATTCCTGTGCTGAACTGAGCTATGTAATTTAAATGACGAATTTGTCTCGGGGAAGCAGAATTTGATTTTGATGTGAATGCATAAGTTAGAGGTCGGTGATCAGTAAATGGAGTGAAGTGTTGACCTTAGAGATTATGCCTGAAATATTTTATAGCTGCATAAAGAGTTAATAACTGTCTGTCATATGTGCAGTATTTTTGTTCGGTGGGGGATAACTTACGTGGGAAAAATCCTAGCGGCTGGTAGTTATTAGAGTGCCGAACGTTTAAGACAGCTCCGATGGAAATGTCAGAAGCGTCAACCATAATACTCAGCTTTTGGTTAGGAGAGAGTTGCAGCATTAATAAGGTCGTGTTTACATTTTTCAAATGCCTGATTCAGTTCGTCGTTCCAAGGAACGGGGCGTTTATCATTTTTACGTGAATCTTTTAAGAGTTCATTCAGTGAAGCTTGGGTCTCAGCTGCCTTTGGTAAGAAGCGGCGATAGAAGTTTATTATGGCAAAGAAATGTCTGAGCTCGACAATAGTGGTAGGTTTTTGGAAGTCGGCAATTGCTTTTGTTTTTTCAGGCAGGGGTTTTACACCTGAAGCAGTAATGAGGCAACCTAAAACGGAAACAGGTGGTTTTCCGAGTACGCATTTGTTAGGGTTTAAGGTCAACCCGTGTTCTTTCAAACGATCAAACACATGACGAAGATGACGGATGTGCTCTACTTCACTAGTCGATGCAATAAGGATGTCGTCAAAATAAGGGATGCAAAAATCCAATCCAAATAAAACTTCATGTATAAAACGTTGGAAAGTTTGGCCTGAATTACGTAACCGAAACGGCATAGCCAGAAATACAAAAAGACCAAAAAGGCTAGTGACAGCCGTTTTCCGAATGTCTGCGGGGTTAACAGAGATTTGATTATAGGCACGGGCTAAATCAAGAGTTCAGAATATGTTCTTTCCTGAAAACATTTCAGTGCAATCCTGAATATGGGGTACGGGATAACAATCCGGGATGGTAACCGTGTTTAAGCGACGATAATCCCCGACTGGTCGCCAGTCGCCTTACGAACCATATGCAGGGGGATTGCCCAATGACTTTTTAAAGGCTGAATGATGCCTTTTGATAGGAGAAAGTCAAACTCTTGGCGTGCAGCTTGAAGTAATTCTAGAGATAATCTTCTACGTTTTGAGAAAATAGGGGTCCTTTAGTTTCAATGTGATGGAAAATTGCTGACATTGGTGCCCTCTCAAAAGTTTGCGAAGAATTTGTCGAGCTGGGGTAATCGGCAAGAATTTTGTCAAATTTTTAGTTACCCATCAAAATATGAATGCTAGTACTGAGCGGGTTCACATTGGGAAGTCTACCCCAAGAATATAGTTTTGTTTGTCCATCAATTAAACGGTTGTTTTTAACATCTATAAGTAAGTTGAACTTCGTGAGAAAGTCAACACCTAAGTGTTGATTAACGTCTGCCAGGACAAAAGGCCAAGTAAATGAGCGACGTAAGTTTAAATTGATGGTCAAGAGTTTGGTGCCATACGTTGCTATTTTGGTGCAGTTAGCAACAAAGAGTACTAAGTCAGCTGGGTTTTTGGCGTGCTGACTGTAACTCTTGGGAATGACAGATAAATCGGCTCCGGTGTCAATTAAAAAGGCGAGTTTTGACGATGGATTGGCTAAAAGAATTCGATTAATGTGGCGGTCGCAACGTTGGCCAACAAGCGATCGCCGATCTAGTTTTCCAACTGCCGGAAATTGCATGGAGAAACACACTTCCGTGCATTGGAACTAAAATTAGTATGGTAGAAACAAATGTTATTGCACGGTTCTTTATACTGGCGATAGCGTCCATTGGATCTATTACGCCTTTTGTTGCGTTGGGAATGATTGTCTTCGTTCACAGAAACGCTCACGGCTGTTTTTGATGGCTAGCGAAAGACCATTTTACTTGCTTCGTCAGCTTTGCAACTTGCTGTTTAATGGGAGAAGTAGATGCCGTAGCAGCACTATTTATGTTAGGGAGAGTTGAGAGATCTGTAATTTTATCAGCTACAACTGCGAGAGTTTTGGGAGATCATCACTTAAGGCAGCAAAGAATACTTTGTGTATTTTGCGGGAGACAGGATATCCATAGAGATTTCAACAAGGGTTCTCCAACGGTCACTCTAGCATACGGCAAAGTAGTTGGGAAGGGAGCTGATCGCCAAGTTCTAGCCCCTGAAGAAGTGTACGGATCTTTGACTCCTCACTTTCAGAATGCAATTCAATTAAGCGTTTTTATAATGCATCTTATTTGCCAGTCACTGGTGGGTGCAAAACGATATCCCAAACGCTATTGAGAATATCGGATTCGATTGCAGATTTCACATGATCGAATTTCGTAGAGGAAACAGTGATTCCGGCGATTTCAAACTGGGCCTCCAGTTGTGCAAACCATAAAGTGGGATTGACTTTCCAAAATGGGGGAGGCTTGACAGAAACACGTGACATTAAGTTTGTCTGCGACGTTTTGTGATGGAGCCATGATTAACAAAAACATATATATATTGCCAAATGTGAGATAAATAAATACACAACAAAAATCAGTCACTAATAA